GCTCTTCTATCCCTGCTGCTTCACTAAACAAAATACAAAACTGCCACATATGATTTTGTTGTGCTAGAGGGAAATGTAGAATCTGAAGAATAAAAAATACTAGGTAAGTATAACCTTGGTTAAATACCTAACTTGAATTCCCAGTGCTCATCCAGCACTCCTGTTCAGTCAGGAGTCTTGAAATAGTAGTCAGTAACAGGTGTTTGGAAAGACACATTTAAAGCTGGCTTTTTCTTTCATGCTACCATGTTTTTTTACAAAATGCTTTCAACTTTCCTTCTGTTAATAGCATGGAGTAAGTAAAAACAAATATATGAAGGAAAAAAATAGAAAAAAGAATTTTTAAAAAAATCAGCATTTGTCTTTCTCCCTAAGACTGCTGTAAGATTAAATTCATGAGACACCTGTTTTAAACTACAAACACATGAACAGTCGTGCTTTTTCAGGACTTACAGATATACACCACTGATGCTTAAGCAGACAATCATACACCTAATTCAAGATTAGTTTTTAAATAATTATTCCCATGTTTTAAGACTACACATGTTGGAATATGCAACGTGCATAAAAGTAATCTGTTGTGTTTTAAGCATTAGCAGAATCAGAACCCAAACTGTCAAACCAACATTGCAAAAGCAAGCAGAACCTGACTAATTTGAAACAGTTCTTCCTTCTAACTACAAATGTTTCCTACCTTAATGTATTTTAAATGCTCTTACTTACTGTCAGGCTTGCTGGCATGATTCGTAGGTGTTGACGTACTGGGTGTATTACTCAGTTTTGATCCAGCCTCTATTTTATAGATTGTCTCATCCTGACAGAAGCCTTTCTCAATGCTGTCAGAAAACCACTGCACAGACACACAGTGCACGTTCCATTTTTTCGCACATTCGTACTTCTGACCTTTCCAATGTAAACAAAACAAAAATCACAAGTTACTAAAAGGCTAATGCTTCAAACAGTTACACAGAAAGATGTCTGGACGTTAAGAAAATTGAAAAATTCAAATAACTGATTTCAGTGTGCAAGTTGTGTTGCACACAACTTTGCTCTTCTGATAAGCTGCTTATTTATTATTTTGCTCTAGATAAATCTATTTATTTAGATATCTCATTGATGGCTAGCTCATGCATACAGTATGACAGGGCACTAAAGCAAAAAAAAAAAAGTTTAAAAAGTCCAAGGATATTTCCCCACAGGGAAAGGAAAGGAAATTGGGGAAAAAAGAAAACCCTTCACATTCTTCTCACAATAAAACTACAATCCTTTCATCTTCCCAAGAGGAAAGAAAAGGAGCTTTCATTTTATCTTAGCGGGGAGTTCAGAAGGTACAAAGAATAGATCAGTTAAAAAACATTACTCCACAATCCAATTTCAATCAGCATATAAATTAAGTCCTATTCAGCTCTCCCAAAAAACTTAAGTTTTTCTTTATTCTTCCATTCCCTCTAGGATTCTCCCTTCTTCTTCCCTTAAATACCATATGGGTCTCTCTCCTTTTCGTCTTTTGTTCTCTTTCTCATGCCTTTTAGACCAAAGTAAGGGTGCCCTGTGTTACTCTCTCCATCTACAGTGATTCCCTAAACAGAAGTAGTAAGAGCATCACTGCAGCAGACACAGACACTTCAAACTCTTATGCTTATGCATATTTACACTACAACTCAAGAAGTGAAAATAATATTTACTCTGTAAGTTCTACCTTTTGGCTCTTGAACTATGAGGTGAGTACATTCATTCATCTTGAGCTGCCCTGTGTATTGCCCACCATGTTCAGCAGTGAGGCGCTGGACTTCTTTCCTGTCTGAACTACTTAAGCCAGTTACGCAAATTGTACAGCCAAGGAACACAGGACAAGCATAGTCTTCCATGTTAACATCAGTGTATCTCATTACGCTAAAGGAATGAAAGAGAGAAAAAAAGACATAAAGTATTTTTTTCTTCCAAGTAAAATCACCCAGAACCAAGTACTCTGTATCACCATAAGAATTACCAGTCCCCAAAACAAAATCAGTTGGCTTGGTTTTTTATACCTTTGCTGAGACTTATCCCACAGTGTCTTAACCCAAGAGGGAAGCAAAATAGGTTTTTTCAGAGAAGCAGCTACCAAGTATTTCTTGCTCCCAACTTCTCCAGCTATAAGATGAGTTACTGACACATTGAGGTCTCTGTACACACGTCCACCCATCATCTGTACATATTTATGAACTTCTTCCTGGGTGGGGGAAAAAAAAAAAGAAAATTATCAAGAAAAAACACACTCACATTCCCCTTAAAAAACAAAATCATGGATTTCGATTGTCCATGGTTTCTCCTGAAAAGGTGTTCAAAAATACAAAATGGGTACAAAAAACCTAAAATATAATTTCCATTTTATTTGCATTATGGTAAGCTGAATATAATATGTACCTTAATTAAAATACTACAATGATACTGTATGAGTAAAATTTTACAGATGGTTGACATCTTAGGTAGTATAAAGAGATATCGGAATAAATAAAAAGTCAACTTCTACGATAAACTATTTAAACCATAACTGACTGGTATTAAATCTTTACCCTGTAGTTTTCAGTAACCAGAAATAGAGCATGTTGTCTGTAGCATTATAGCCGCAGACAAACCAGCAAGATAAGTGAGCTAATGAGTTAATAAAAATCCCTAAAACATACATTTATTCCCAAACTAATACAGCTGAAACTTTGTATGGTTATACATGCATATACTTATGCAATATTTAGATGTACATGAATGGATACACTACTACATACACGTTTATATACTACATACAAGACTCCCTATTTCTCCATACAACTCTCTACATAAACTATACGTAGTCTACAAACTATAGAACGACTATATATATCTAGACATAGGCGCTATTATATAGTTAGTTATATATAGTATGACTGCTGCCTTAGTAATGAGCCACCTGAAGCAAACGTCAACAATAATCAGCTAAACAATCGATTTTGTACAATGCATTACCCTAACATCTTTTTCCAGGCTGGTACAGGATACTGTTACATCGGCCATGGTCATATTGTACACAGGATACTCAGCTCTTGGGACACATCGCTGGGACTGCATGCAGTACAGGACTACCTGTGGTCCAACAATTCTACAACCAAGCTGCAGTAAAATAACAGAAAAAACCCCCAAAGAAAGTTAGCAGAAGGTGCACTGGTATAAGGAAGGTTTTCCTTGTTCCTGAATCCCGAGGAAGGCAGGGCCCTTGGTCTGTCTTCCTCCTCTAGCATCTGCAGGTGAGTTTTGTTTTTACTTTCAGCTGTGGATTTTCAGTACAATCCTTGTAGGTTTTCTGGCCTCAGTAAAAGAAGGAGATGCTACAGCTAATATGCCAGTGAATTCCAGCTAGCCTGTCTTTGTCTGCTGGACAATTCCTTGCAGGTCAAACAAAATCATGTTACTCAGGAGGTAAAGAACTATAAGAGCCAGATTAGCAATTCCAGCAGAATCAGAAGTGATCACACTCTTTATTTTTCCACGTGCTTCAAAGTAATTCTTATGCTTTGCTAGTCATCTTATTTCCTAAATACAGTATGCAGTGAAGTCTTAAAGGCTTTATTGTGCATACTTCATACTGCTATATTCAGTGCAAACAGAGTAAATATACAGAGTGTAAGTATGGACAAGAGTACTTCTAGAAAAGAAAGAATATAGCTAGAAATAAGCTGATGGGCAGCATACCTTTTTGAGATGATTGAAAACAACGCCTCTAAAAGGATCACAAATGTAAAGCGATTTATCATTTTCGTTTATACTGAGTGCTCTTTCTTCTTCAAGGATTTGAAAATGTTCTTCTGACTGAAATTCTTTTATAGACTGCAGGTAAACAGTGTGTACAACAATATATATTTAATTAACAAAAAACCAAACAGCCAATCCTGTGAAAACTACACAGTACACCTACTTGAAACACCTCAGAGCAGGGCAACCATGCAAGAGTTGCTTTGTTCAACCATGCAAAAGAAAGGGCTAAAATACCTCACTGTATGAGGTGTCCCCCTCATTCCACCAAGTTTTCACAATACTCAGACTTCAACGTTCATCGTATAAGCTTTCAGGACCTGATCCTGGCACACAGTGCCTTTAGCTCCCACTAACCTCTCACAGTGGAAAACAACCCACAGTATCTTTCCTAAGTTTGCTCAGTGCTTAGATTAGTGACCACCACCCAGACCTTCCAAGCTACATGTCACTTTACTAAATATCACCAGATTTTGAATTATTTCTTGTTCAAGAAGTAATTTGTTCAAAAAATTTTATTTTAAACACCTGTATTACAGAAATCGCTTTACTTCCAGATGTATACATATAAGCTCCGGCTAAGTCAACCACAGTAATCATCTAATTAGATAATTTAACTAGATAATTCACCAAGCTCACGAAGAAAGGTGATTAAACCTACTTACCTCAAGAGCTTTAAAAAAATACTCCGAGTTCCCAGAAGACTTTATGAATTTCACAAAAAATGGCTCCTTACTATCTTTCATCCTTTAACTGAGAAGCAGAACCCAGTAAGCGCCCCGACATTTTCGGCGTAGCCCGGAATCGCGCAGTGAGGGGGAGCATCGCCCACCTCCGGAGCCGCGGAACCCCTCTCGTCCCTGTCCCTGCTCCCCATTTTTTTTCCCCCCCGCCCAGCCTCGGCGCCGCCTGCTGCCGGAGAGGGGCGGGGGAAGGCGAGGGAGGCCTCTTCCCCACAGGGCCTACTCCCACCCAGCACGCGCCCACCTCACAGCTCTCGCACAACCCACCGACCCCTGCTCCGCAGCTGGTGCTCGGCACTGCCGGTTTAACCACGCACGACACTCCACTGCAGTCCCGGCCCCAAGGCGGGACGAGGGCCC